TCCTCAAACTATTCCAATACAGAGGTATTTATGCAACATTTCTGCGAGCGTGAATAATCCAATATGCAATGGATTTTTCTTTTAGAGATATAAGTCCAAGATATATATTTAAATATATTTAATTTAAAGCATAAGAATTTGGGTTTCACTGCTCAAGCAGGCTTCTTCAAAATGAGCAGGTAAACACAAACCAGAGCACACAGGTGGAAACTAAGTGGAGGTGCCCTTAAAACAATCAACAGGAAGTAGTTCTTTACCCAAACAAACACACGTGCAGCATGTTTTTAACAAGCCACCCAGCCATGTTGTTGAAGTAGATACCCTGGCTGCTTTCAAGAAATGGCTGGATAAGATTCTTTGATCATTTAGATACTACCAAACAAGCTAGATGGACCAAATGCCCTCCTCTAATTTTTAACTGTTATGTTCTCATGTAGAGCACCAGAAGAAACGTACCACTCTGTTTGGAAACAGAAAGTGTATTTTATGTTCTAAGTGTGACCTTTCTGATTAATTGATCTCCAAGGACCAGTGAGCAGGCAGTAACCAAGTTCTAGAAGACAAATAAGATACAATCCCAGATAACAGCCGCAACCTGGAGAAAAGCAAGCATCCTAGAAGTACAACTTGTATTGTTTCTATCAGTGACTGTACACGTTACTAGTCTGTAGCTTCACAATAGACACCATCTTCCTCAACTCTATTGATGGGAAATGTAAATGAATTTACCTATGTTTGTGATATAAATAGTACTGCAACTGCTGTCACAAAAAATATTTTCCCAATAACCTTGTGAGTCTCTTGCTTTGTGAGGTTCTTTTGAAGTATATTTCCATAAAGCATGCATACAGAGATGTCTCATATATATTACAGACTGAGAAAAAAACAAATTGGAAGATCATAAGACACACAGTCCATTATCCGCTAACAAAAGAAAAAGTGCAGCAGAACAGCCAGCACTTCAGAAATTAATTGACTTCGCTGCACAGTTAATAAGGTAGAAGCAGATATGGAACAGAAAATTAACGGGAGTTGTACCATTAATGAAAACGGTGTAAAACTATTTCCCTTTCAATGGAGAGACGTGTGACTGAGTACTATCTGCATTTCAAGGAAGTTGCTGCGGCACAAATTAAATTTAGCTAGATTGCTATTTGAGAAAATACAAAAAAGGGAGCTAATTTAAAATACAAATACTTTGCCCTTTACTCTCAATATACACAATAACCGACAGAAGTCCAAGGTAGTGGCAGTCACTGTGTAAAGAGAGCTCATACTGTAAGTGGCTTAGAAAAAGCTAATAATGTTTTTTTTCTAGATGAGAGTGACCATGGCAGCAGTGAAATGTTTGCTTCCTTGAACCAATGGGATGATTAACTGCCAATACTGAGAGAGCAGGTACTGCTGTTAGTCTGTAAACACTGAGCATATATTACTAATTTATTTTAACAGGTCTGTTTTTGCAGTCTCTTTTCATTCCGCACAGCCAGTTTAATGCAAAAGCACTTTGGTCTGACAGATAACGTTGATTCTTTCTGTATCCATTACTTGGTAAGAAGAGTATGTCACACTTATGAATAACAAGCGTGCAAGTGCTTCCAACGAAAGGATATTTTCTTAACAGTATTTTTGCAATCCCAATAAGCTGGGTCTATGAAGTAATGAACAATTTTGCTATTTTCCATTATCATGAGGTTGTTTAGTCTTGATTTAGTTGCGACTTCAACCGCTAGTTCTGTCCCTGCCAGGAGCTGAAGATTTGGCAGAAATCTTCCCAGAAATGAGTCAAATCAAAAGTTGCAATAAACCCTATTGTATTGGGTAACTTTTCTTAATTCTGTAATTTCAAGTGCAACTACAAGCATAACTGCAGTCAACGTTTAAAGGCTCTTGTAGCCCTAACCCTACCCTGGTTTAAAAATACATCCTCATATACTGTACATTAAATACCATTTGAACTGCCTTTTTCAGCTGATGGTAAATTTACCTAAAGAACATACAGTGGATATAAAAAGCCTACACACCCTTATTGAAATTGCAGG